TTTTTTTTTTTTTTTTTTTTTTTTTTTTTTTTTAAAGCGACAACTTCTTGGCCTTTTTCACTCTATTTAAACGAATTTTGCTTGTTTTTGCGGGTTTTTTTTTATCATGCATATTTGAGGTATAGTTAAAAAAATATTATTATCGTCTTATTTTCATTAAAACATATTCTTTTCCTTTAAGTTTCAGACTGCGTTGATCACTGCGGTAACACGTTTGTAAGCTGTGCAAAAGAAAAGGAGGAAGGAAAAAACGTTGAATAAACATCGCTCGGACGAGGGACTAGAGAGACAGAGACATCGCGCGATGCAACCGAGCCCTATTTTGACTGAATTTCAAGACGTTTAAGTTGAAAATATGCAAGTTTAATGGAATTGCAGGCTCAATTGAGGAAGAAGTGGCTTGTTTATGTACACATTATTAGAAGTCACAAAGGAAATGCTATGCTAATTTTACAGTATAAAATACCATCCCGTTATAACAGCTGTACCCTGTGGCTACACGCACTGCGTACCTGTCTTTGGGATCCCAACGAAACTATCTAGGGCGGATCCAGGATTATTTGAAAGGGGGGGGGGGAGACGCAAAGCTGAAGGGACCCAATATTTTTTTATTTTAGAGGACGAACTGTGCCATTTGATACTGTTTAGAGTATGATTCAGCTAATCAAAATTTTAATTTCAAGAGGGGACCATTTGTGTCTTTTCTTTTTCAGAAATCGAAGGGGGGTCAAGAGGGTTGTCTTGAGTTGCCTGTATCTCATCTGTGAGGTTTCATTAAAAAAAAAAAAACTTGAGGCATGATATAATCATTAATTTAATTAATTCACATTTTACCCTGGATAATGAATTCATTCATAAACTAAAATAAAGACAATTATTACAATTGTGAAGAAAAAGGAAATGACCCCGACGTGATTTGAACACGCAACCTTCTGATCTGGAGTCAGACGCGCTACCGTTGCGCCACGGAGTCCACGTGCATGACGCACACAGGGGACCGCTGACACTGCTGTGTATTTCCGTAACGTGTGATGAAACTGCACATCCATCATAATGCAGTGAGATCATTATCTACAGAATACAGGTAGACATTGAGAGAGTGACAAATTATATAGAATGGATAATCAGGTCCAAGCGCCTTTTGTTTGTCCACATCACACCACCTGTATCTTCGTTTTAATGAGAATTTACCCAAGGGTCCAATGAATGTTGCTTGTGCTTCTTAAATTACCACAGGAATTAAAATCATAAACGGTATTGTAAATGCAGATAAAGTGGGGAGGGGGGGGAATCATTAAATACACTTTGGATTTATCTATTAGGGGAGACCGGGGCTAGTTGGACAAAGGGGTAAGTTGGCCCTTTGTTAATTTTTGGAGAAGTACCTAAGAGATATAAAAAACTGATCACATACTGTAATTATGTAAAGTGACCATATCCCTCAGAACCAAGAAAGCATCGATCGCAAAAATGGTTTTACTTGAACGGTCAGCCCAAATTAAAGAGCTCTGCATCTGAACATCTGCAACAAGGGGCACTTGGGCTTTTAGACCCTGTATTTTGTAATGATCTTTCGACACAAATTCAAAATATAAAGGAAACGGATCAAAACAGTATATATAACCCCCCCCCCCCCCCCCCAGTATCTGCGTCATGTGGACTACAAATTCAGCAAAGACTCACAATCAATTGCATTTGAAATACATTCATGGCGTTTACATGGATTGCCACATTATCAACGTAATCCGGCATAGGGCAAAATGGCCAACCTGACAGCGTTTTTATTTTATTTTATTTTATTTTATTTTATTTTATTTTATTTTATTTTTTTGGTCAAATTATGAGTGATGTGGCATTACATTTTCAAAGCAATGACGCTAAATATGCACTGTGTAGATAAATCTTTGTCGCTCGTTCTAGAACCGAGTTTGTTGCTCTCGTTTTGATTTGGTTTCACAAGGCCAGGAGTATCTACCTGGGTCGAANTTTTAGTGGTAAAATACAATAGAACATATTTCCATGCGTTGTTTACAATGTATTTCATGCGGATTTTTGAATCTCAAAGGAAGAGTTATTATTGCTTTAACTTATTATTTAAAAGCCATTAAAGAGATAATAACTCTTCGTTTCGGCCAAAAAATGAATTTTCCTGGAGTAAACCACAATTATCCCATACTTACATGGTTATTGAATACATTTTTACAATCAGAGTTAGTCCCTGTTTTTTTTTCTAAAAAGTTTGGTTTTTTGTTTTAACTTAAGAGATTTAAACAGAGTACAGCTATCAATGGAGGTCACGTGGTCTAAAGACAAGCTCAGATATCAGAATAATAGCTATAACTGCCGTTTTTGTGGTAAAACAGAATATATTATATTTCTATGAGTTATTCACTATGTTTTTATTGTGAAATATAGATCTCATACGAAGAGTTATTATCCCTTAAAGTTTTCCAGGCTTTGGATTAAATATGGTTCTTGATTACTGTTATTGCCCGTAACAGCCTGCACGGTCGTTTTTTATTTTAAATCAGAAGGAAAAAAAAGACAGGGCACAATAATTGTAGGGTATAATGATTTTGATAAGTTTTAACTAATTTTAATTAAAATTACTTTAATTAATAAATTGACAATTTCCAATTAAAAAAAGGCAGGCTCATAAAGGCCATAGTAGATAAGTACATGTAATCTTGGCTTTTTACCGACAAAATGTAAACGTACACTGAATGTTTACATGTGCTTGTTACATGTGCATGTGTTAGATAAATCTCCAACCTAAATATCTCAATGTTGAACAAATTCGGATGATTCCGTACGTTCTCACGCAATTTACGGAAACAGTCGAAAGTAAACGACAGGGCCACGTACCTGTCCTGTAGTTAAGCATTTGCGTGGCCTACTTTTAGCATCCGCACCCTATTTTAGTGTATATGAATGTAATAGCCAATGGTAGACATTTTTTCCTCCTACATCTACTGGCACCGTTTCCAAAGCGGAACTTGGAGACGTTTTATTTACTGAGACAAAGATAAAAAATCATACAGAGGATGTCTACTGGATTGCATCTTGAGACGGTAAACAAGTATGATACGTAAGGCGGACGCCCATTTAAATTCTCCTCACCTTAACCGTTATATGACCCCTCTTATATATCTTGAATCGTATATAAGTCTAAATGACTTGGATTTATGACAGCAAGGGATTGCCGGGATCTAGGCAACAGAGTTTGTGGCACAGTGAAAGTTGAAGTGTTTAACGAGGACAACAGTTCGAATCTCCCATGCCAAAGTGAAACTTCAACCAGTGACAGACGACGAAAATGGCCGTGTAGAGTTTTAACTGTTAAAACAGCTAGGTATATTTGAGAAAAAGACAGTCAAGCACGTTGGACAGAGTATCAATTTTATTCATCTCCCATCAACATTCCAGTGGTTGCATCTTAAAGTTGTAAGTGCTGATATTGCCTACCCTAAGCCAAGAATAGGATATCAGTCATTGCCTTATAAAGTTATATTTTATAGGGTAAGTGTATGATACATGTACTGGTAGGTTTTGAAACGAAGGGTGAATAATGGAGGCAGCCAGTGATTATTGTCATTGTAAAGTAACCCATAATCTCCGCGACGTAGTAAAGGTTACACTGGCTGCGCCAGGATGCCAGCACGCAGTTCTTTTGTGCAGCTGCTTTATACATTACATATAAAGACTGGAAAATAATGGGAAATTCCCGAAGAATTAGGGCGTCTTTCCGGTAGGCCTAAACATTTTAGAAACGAACTCCTCGCTTTTCTCGGCTCGGCTAGAGAAATCTGGGGTTATCTTCTTAATGAATTATGAAGTAAATTGATCACTTAATTGATTCAGTAGATAATTGATTACGTTTGAAATATGTTTATTTACTCGTTCATTTTTTAATATTATATCCTTTTTGCTCAATGCCGAAAGCCATTTTACCCCTTACATTACTTCAAACACTGTACCACTTCTACTACTGCCACTACGTGTGTGCTACATGTAGGCCCTACTACTACCACTAATTAATTGTCAATTTCTTTCTTCCAGAATTGATGCAGATCCTTACATGAATGATTTGAAAAATGATCGAATCTATAACATGTATGACACTTTAGTGTAAAACTGCCTCCTTCAAACTACTGTGCAAGACCCAGACTTTCAAGTAGAGAGAAAAAGAGAAACTGTGACTAAAATGGATCCCAAGCAACAAGTGTCTTTCCTTTGGAACCTCCAGGAGCCTTATAAGCCTTCTAAGGCGGACTTAGAGGTAGCAGAGCAATGGACAGAACTTGACTGGTCCTATTTAGACTTGCAGATCCTTCCCATGACGATGCCTTTGTGCACGAGGCTGAAGGTCTTCGACATAAGCGGTAATAATCTGGAGAGCCTACACGCGGTTGCCTTTAAGTTGAAAACTTTGGAAGATTTAGATCTGAGCGCCAATAAAATTACCGAGGTTCACAGCTCTTTAAGCATGCTCACCGGTCTGAAAGAGTTGAATCTCTCCAGTAATTATCTAACAGCGTTTCCCGTGTCAATCCGTGAGCTAGTCAATATGGAAGTGCTATACCTGAGCCATAACAAGATCAAAGAAATCCCGGGTGAAATCAGCAGTTTAGTCAAACTGAAAACATTCTACATCAATTCTAACAGTCTTACACATCTTCCATTTGAACTGGAAGAAATTTCGAGTCTACGCTTTATTAATGCCAAAAACAACCCCCTTATACAGCCACCGACCGCCGTCTGTGATTCCGGAAGTGACGCAATTCTGCGCTATCTTCGCAACGCACGTGAAAAGGCGGTGAGAGCATGTCGTCTGCAGCTCAACATCCTAGGAGAGGTTTGCGCGGGAAAAAGCAGTCTCGTTAAATCACTAACAACCGAGAAACCCCACCTCACAGCAGAAGAGGACCGAACTTGCGTCCTAGACCAACTTTTATGGGAAGAAGAAGATGTGACGTTTAATATTAATGATTTCGGTGGCCACGAGATCTACAGGGTTGTTCATAATTTCTTCCTTGCCAAAGATGGGTTGACGTTATTAGTTTTTAACATCGCGCTGTACGAAACGAGCAATTTCCACGCACTTATTGGACAGTGGATCGAAACGCTCTGCATGCGCGTTCCAGAGGCAATGATTGCCCTTGTTGGCACGCATATTGACGAATGCGGCCGTGAGGTAAAAAAAAAAGGCAATAATCTTTTGTTCCTATAGTAAAAGTCACAGGAAGAGAAATGTTTCGGATTAAAACAAAGGTGATATAATGGTGCTTTCCAGGCCCGTAGCCAGCAATTTCAAAAGGGGGGTTCTTTTTCAGAAAAAGTGGACCTTTTCCCATAAAAACTTCATGTACCTAGATCAAATTTTACCCAGAGTGGACCTTTTCCCAGCAAAAGGGGCGGTTCTTTCGACCCCGCGAACGCTACGGGCCTGCTTTCTATCTTTTTTATTGTCATTCAAATTTGGCACTGCAAAAATCGTCAATAATTGCATTATTGCACAGCTAATTTTGGACAGATCGTGAAATTTTCTAACTCTTACGGTTTTGATAAGGTGCTATGATTGTTATAATTACAGGTAGCAGAGAGTAAAAGCCAGGACGTACTGGAACGTGCAGACAAGTTTATTCAGGAAAAGACGGGAGAAAGGAACACGAAGGAGAAGATACAAATTGTGGTTCAAAAAACCTTTCCAGATGCAATTACTGAAAAAGAAACCAAAAGAAGGAGGCAGTTCGGCATATACTTGGTTGATCAGATATTTTTAGTTAGTTCTAAAAATCTTGAGGGATTCGACCTGTTGAAAGAAAAACTTATCCAGGTTGCTAAAACCAAAGCTCTTATCTTACCGCAGTCTTGGCTTGCCGTCTCGAAGTTCGTTCAGAAAGCCAAATCTGAACGTACTGACTGTAACTGCTTGTCGGTGCAGGAACTCTCTCGCGAATATTCGTCCATAATCCGAAAGTCATCAGAAAAGGTAAAGAAAGCTGGCGCTTCTCGTAGAGAAAACCAAGAGAAAGTAGGACGGTCTAAAACTACCAAAGACATTAAACCGAAAAAGCCAAGTTTCTTTTCACACACCCTCCAAAAACTACAGAGAGCGTTTTCGCCGAGGCAAGCCAAAACGGCACAAGCCTCTTCAAAGAGCACTACTGAAAATCAAGGTAAAGCAGAAATAAGAACGAAACCGTTTTGGGGGCCGAGGGTAAGAAACTGAAGTCCGCATAACAGAAAGTCCACCCTTCATGAATTCGTACAGGTTAAGGTTAACTTGTCGTATATGGGTCAAAATCTAGGGTTAGGTTTTTCTGTACAAATAATGAAAACCGAACCCTCTATTACAACTCTCTCGTGTGTGACACTGGGTTTACAGAAAAACTATAGGCCTACCCGGAACATTGGTTTTATTTTTAAGGCCAAATATTCAGGGTACATTGTTCTACTTAAATCAAAATGCTTTATATTGTGTAAACAATTTCCACCGACGAATTTGTATATTTCCATTTAAACTTTCATTATTTTAAAAATCTGTTATAGCAATTCGCTTTAGACACACTACCCAGTGCATGTAGCCTAGGTCACAATAAATACACGATGATCAGTTCATCATTTTCTTCAGATGAGCCTTCTGACGAGACAGAGGCAGAAGACATCCAACTGCAGATGATTCTGGACACCCTCCATTTCCTACGTAAGACCGGCGAGGTATTATGGTTTCCAGAAAATTCCTTCCTTCTGAACATTGTGTTTCACAACCAGGACGTCGTGATAGACCTCCTGAAGGCCGTGTTCCGCCACGACATGGAGGATGAACTGCAGTACGACAAGGCGCCTTTCAGAACGGAATACACCCATCCTCGCTTTATCAACGAACGCGAAGACCTTCTCAAGCGCGGGATTCTCTCTCGGAAGATGATCGCCTGCCTGTGGGAGAAATTTGGCCTCAAGAACACCGAGATCGATGCCATGATTGAATTAATGCTGAAATTTGATTTATGCTATGACGTTTCCGTCCAAGAAACAGAGGAAGAAGTGGACTCCACGCGTGCCTCTCATTTCCATATCCCGTGGTTGCTACGGGAGACCAGACCAGGTGACGTCATGCTTCAGTGGCCCGCTTCACTTCCGTCCGACCACGTGCAACTTACGCTGGAATACCACTTCCAAAACAGCTGCCCCATTGGTCTTTACGAAATGGCCGCTGTACGTCTCCACCGGTACCTTGGCCCATTCAAGACGACCCGCATTGACTGGACGGACGGCGTCGTGGCTCAAGTGGGACAGGGCTTCTTAAATATGGAGAGAAGAGAGACTGCCACCGGCGGTTTAATAATGGTCGCAATAAGAGGAAAGAACGTGAGCGACTTGTGGCCTCACACTGTGAAACTCCATGACGAGATGGTAGAGATTTTGGAACAGGAGTGCCCTGGTTCTAGGTGGGAGGCGTTTTCTGTAATCGTCCTTTCCGGCGTGGCGTAATTTTTGAGTTCTAGAAAATGTGTTTCCTATTAGGCCTACTTATTCCATTTTGGGATCTCGATGTGTTTTAATTCAACCTTTGCATTGAAACATATCCAAGATACTTTTCGTATTATCCTGAAAGAAAACCTAGTCGTCGTGCGTGATTAATTATGTTTGTCGAAATCCTTTTTTGACATATTTTTGTCCAATCAACTTATTCAGTAAACGAAGATGACATGTCTGATCAAATGAAAAATATTTTTGACCTCTGACTGTCAATTCTCATCTGCAGTATCTTAATATTATTTTTCTAACAAGCATCCGTAATTATGTGTTTTTACATATATTATCTTATTTAGGTGTGATGCCTATTTGGTGTGTCCACACTGTGTAGCGGCTGGGTTTCAAGATCCCACACTATTTCCAGCGGAAGTCCTTACGAGCCCCCCGCCAATGACTCTCTCAGTGGTGCCATGTCTCCGTTCAGCCAATGGCAAAGTTCCTGCATATTTAGTTTATCCTAATGCTCAGGGTATGTCATCATAAAGGAACGTTTACATACAAGTTGGATTGGTCCTTCTGTTCCATTCTCTGTAGGCTGTCAGCTGATATAAGCAAGCTAATCATAGAATTTTTATTCTGTTAAGTTTTTCGAGTGACGTGGTTAGTAGATGGCACGGTGGTCGGTAGATTAGAAGATATATTTCATTTGGTTCTTATAAGCTCGCCCTTTGAGAGGCAACGTCAGACTGAGATGGGCTGCTCCAACTTGTATGGAATGGCTCCTTACGCTTCCCATCCAGAATTATACCTTGTTCAGATCAGATTTGAACGAATGCAATTTTAAATTTAGATGTGTCCGCCTTAATTCTCTGCGCTCTCAACATCCACTGCACTGCGCATCAATCCAGCCAAGAAAGTCTTCACTACTTTTCTCATAGATTTTTTATTCCGTTAATAAAACTCCCCTCTCTCTCACTCACTCACACACACACACACACACACACACACACACACACACACACACATTTACCAGTAGTGAGATCTTCACATATTTCNCCTGGTTTTCTCGCTTTACTTTATCTGCAATGCACCCTACGACACAACATTAGCAATTCGCCATTGCGTTGCTCTATCTCAAATTACATGACAACGCCAAATTTTACTCAATGCAATCCTAAAACATAGACTTGTGCCTGACCGCGAGAGAAGTTTCAATGGCAGATTTTAACCCCACCTCTCGTGAAATCTCGCTCCAATCCAGGTCTCGTTTGACGTCATCTGCTGCGCAGATGTTCAAAATAGGCTATCCCGGACATCTCCTATTCTCTGCGCTCTTAACATCCACTGCACTACATGTATACATCAATCCAGCCAAGAAAGTCTTCACTACTTTTTCATGGCTACTCGGAGGTTTCTCACCTTCCCTCTCTCTCTCACTCACTCACACACACACAAACACATATTTACCAGTAGTGTGATCTTCACAAATTCCATTTCTTTATATATTTCCAGACCAAGGTATCATGACGGCCGATCATCGGCGAGCTCTGAGGGCCCATCGCGTTCGACTCGTGGAAGACATCTCTAGCCCGTCAGCGCTGGATATCTTGAATCGCTTGTACGCAGCCGCCATTATTACGGAGAGGGAAATGGTCACAATGCGATCGGCAGACTTGAAATACGACATGGTGGAGGTGCTTTTGGATATTCTTCCGGGAAAGGGTGACCGCGCATTTGGGGAATTTGTTACTGGTTTGGAGTGCTGTGGCTATGGGGACATTGCCAGGCTATTGAAATACCAGTTTAAGTTTTGAATGGTATCTACTGGAACAGATGTGTAATGGGCTGTAAAACCCTGAGTTAAGGGGGTAACTTGGAACTCACTTTTGTTAATATCAGAATATTGCTACTTCCATTTCCTGGTAGTAGACTAATCTTTGAGACTCAGGGTGCAGGCTGCGAACTTCATCATGCAACTCTGCTGTGAGCATATCTCGTTGAGATAGAGTGATGATCGTCGTGAGGTGGGACTTACCTATTAACAAAAATAAAAAAAGTGTAAATATATGCGGTAGGGATGTCGTCTTAGAAAGGTATATAGCAGCCGTTAAATTTTTCTGTTGTGCATAAGAATAATTCTGCCGAACTTAAAAGAAAACAGCTAGAAATATATCGGTGGATAAATAGTCACAGCTTTTATTCTCTGTCGAAGCGCATTTGCTAGCCTGCTATTATTTTTGATGCCACTCTCGTCGAAATCCTGCGAAATCTCGCTTGATATACTATACGCTAATTATCAAAACTTTGTCGCTATCTCGGATTATTCCCATATTTGTATGGTGTGAGATGTCGTATTGAAAATTTTGAAATACTGTTAATGGTTTCAAAAATGAAGACCTGTATTTAGTTCTAAATAATTATTCGGTCAAATAGGTTTGTCATTGGCTTATGTGCTAAAAAAGGGATCCAAGCAAGACTGTACACTGAGAAAAATGTTTTGGACAACAGCTGAAGCTATGCAATACATGCAAGCAGGTTATTTCCGAAGGGCACGGAGAAGGCTTGGAAGAACGCTTTTTAAATTTCAGAAATTTTATCGACAGCTCATATTAATTGTCTTGCGCTTAATTAATAAGCTAATACGTTTTTTTTTTGTTTAACTACTGGACCTTTTCGTAAAACGTAAACACATACAGGGGAAACGTTTGAGACCTCCGAAGGATTGGAAGAAGGCTTGGTCGAGCCTTTCATATATATATCGAAAAAAATATCTTTCAACAATTTCTAGGGGGGGGGGAGGGGGGGGGGGCGTCCCCCCCTGCAACCTACAGTCTTGGGTTGTTGTGAGCATTTTTTTACAGTAAAGACATATCTCGCGTTAGCTTTTTTGTTAATTTTAAGAGCAAATTCGAGACCAACTTCAAATGAATGAATATAAATGTAATAGTAAGAAAAGTTTCAAAATAGGCCGGCAGAATAAAATAAAATTTATAATCTTGCTCAAACATTGTTTTAAAGATTTCGTCTTTTAGTTTATAATTTTTAGTTACTTTTAAATATCCGTATGATTTTATTTATGATAAATTGTAAAACTTCAACCTTTGGGTTGCGATTCTAGCAAATAAATTATTATTATTACAAATTATTATTATTATTAACGCCTTCCAGTCCTAAATACATTTTTAGTGCTGTACCTTATTGTGGCACAACTAACACATCTGCATTGATGTGCTCAGAAATATATAAAGATGTGTGGCGAATCCTGCTTCATGAAGAACTTTTTTTAAGGGGGAGACTGAGTCCTTAATCCGACATTATTATTTTATTTTAATTTTAATTTTTGAACACGCGCAGCCCACCAGTGGTACACATACTCAACTCTCTCTCTCTCTCTAAAACCCTCTTCCCCGGCACTAGCCGCATTCACGACTTGATAGTATACTAGCATAATGTGCATTTAATAATTAACTTAAAAGATTTTGAACACCTCGTCTCGTAATAATCAATATGACGGATATAAGTCAACGCAAACACGCTGTTTGTCATCTAAAAATAACCAATAGGTTTTTCCCTCCGCAAAGCATTTCGTGATTGGTCAGATTGTCGGCTGATATAGAACTAGGTCACTCGTCGGCCATCATAGAAATTTAGCATCACAAACAGAAACCTGCGTTGGAAATATTGAGAAGAAGAAATCGTTTAAAGATATCATCGACTCAATAGGTAAGCGAGAGCTTATTTTTTGTTGTTTATGAATAAAATTAGAGTTAAGTTCATTGTTAAATTGATGAGGTTAGGCGTGGAGAGTCATTTTTTAAGTCTTCATGAGTGACCTGACGATCTGTCATGAGTGAGGTCAAATTGACTTGAGAGTTGACTTGCCGACAGTTTATAAATGAATTGGTCCTTCCGAAGATACATGACAAAATAGTTAACTCAAACTCACTGTTGAGAGTTGATTGTACTACGATATCTAGCTTCGTTGTTATATGAAATGTATTTAGCATCGGTTTAAAACTGTCGAGGTTGAGATCGAATTGTGGAAACTGGACTTGACTCACAAGTATATCAATTTCCACATTATTCAGTCTGCGGTTTATTCTGTGGTACGCGAGGCCTTGCCTAAATTTAGCAGCGAAAAAGTACAATTTGGTTTTCGTAAAATGTGTAAGTTTGTTGACTAGTTTTTCTAAATCGGTATTTCTCGTATCTTGTGACATCTTCCGGTTGTGAAATATCACAACATGCTTATTACTCATCATAATCATATCATGTTCAGGATGCTGTTATAAATATGGCAATTTTCAGTGATCAGGCATTTTAAATAATTGAAATAGTACGTGTGAATTTTCATGAAGAATGCGGGTGTATTCCTTGAATACTGCTTAAAGTATTTGCAGTAAAAACACTGTCAGCAGCACTATGACACAAACAATCCCCAAAAAGTTTATTAGTTTATTAATCATGGGTAAAACTTTCTTAAATGTGTAGTTGTTTAAGGATAAAAAGGTTAATTGGTCAGCACAGTTGAAATGGAGTCTTGATTTTGTTTGTAAAAATTATTACAAAATATAATTATGAAAGTTGAATTAGCTGAGAATTGATTTACATTTTAAGGCTCTCTAGACTAATGTCTGAGTGCAGTATGTGCTACAATTAAACAAATGAATAAAATTAAGTAAATAAATATATAATATAATAAATATAAATATATATATATACATTGACTAATCGGGTATGCAGAACAAAATTGTATCTTAGATATTTGTATTGACTTCACCTGTATTTCTGTGGACGTCTGTCAGTTGTGATAAATGGCTTTTTCCGAGTTGTTGTCTTTAATATCAGGTCACAGGTGATATATTAAATTGTCATGACAGGTGCACAGCAATGTGACACAGTTGCAAATGTGACACAGGTGTGAATGCAACATATTGCAGTATTATATTGTAACATTTATTTGGCTTGGGTACAAATTTAACAGAGGCTGTGATCCCACAGTAGAATGTAAACAGCAGTGTAAACTGAAATTGACTCAAGTCATGATTTCTGTTGTTTACTTATTGGCTGCAGGAAAAAAATTATTTTACACCATACAATTTGCTTAGTAGTCCCCGCCCCCTGTATGAGTTCAAAAATTTATTATGGTCTTGTGCATTTACCATAAATTTATCATCACAACTGCAACATACATTTTTTAATTTTTTTTTTCTTGGGTCCAGTTTCACATTGAAGTTGCCACCATTTATTATGATAATCATTACATCCATGACACCTTGAATGTTCGGTGGGAATATATCCTAAGTCACCCTGAAAAATGCTACATGTGCAACTTTCTACCGAGATGTTAAACTGATTTATAATTTCATGATGCTTTCACATTTCTATAATATGTGTGTCTGTCTTTGATATATACTTTCATTCATAAATTGGCACAAAACTCATATTTAAAAACACGCCAACGTCTGTTCTGACTGTGGTGCACTCTTGATAACATATGTAGGCAGATCAAAACATACAATTTGTAATACCTGATGCATCTAATTGACGTAGTATCTGGCCAAAAATGAGGGCTTAAGTTAAGGCTTGACCTGGTCATTTTGGGACATCAAACGGAATTCCATTAACTCAAACAGTACGTGTAACCTAACCTGAACCGTGATACTTGTAACTTGAATTGCTGTAAACTACAGTCAGTTTTTCTAAACTCTACTAGTAATTGGAAATGATCTACAGAGTTTTAAAAATGATTATGAAGTGACTTGTCTGTACATTGTCATATATAACCATTGATACCATTCATAACCATATCATTGAAGGATAAAAAATATTAAAACTATATGTTATCTAAATGCATAACTATTTTGAAAGTATGAAACACGAGTGGCTTGAGATAGAAACTGATAAATAGGCCTCTAGGTCATTTGATAGAGAGGCAGTTGTTTGTGTTATGTCATTGCATTCAGCTGATGTCTGTGCTTGTAAACAGATCATTTCATTAGATAAATCCATTGTACCAAAACTGTTGCAAAACTCAACACAAAAGAGTTGACCTATTTGGAAGATTACCAGGTCTTCTATTTAATTATATCTGATCGAGTTGGACTATCTTTCCGTTTGATTTTGAATGGCATATCATAACAACTAAAAGTATCATTTATAATGAAAAAGAGCGCAAGTTAACCAAATTTCAAAGAAAACCACTCTGTATGTCATTTGAATTTACATATTGAACTTTTTTTACCATCCAGAAAAATGACATGAATTTTGGTTTATTTTTACTGCAAGTTTTAAACAGCAAGTTTAACCAATAATAGGATGTTTTTATAATAAATTTGATGACGCTGATACCTACGTGTGTTACTGAGTGACCCAAATATATTAGAGGTGTGTCCAGTATGACTAATCATCTAGTTTGTTATGGTTGTTTTGATGCTTGGGTTATTGCCCTCTCTAAGTAAACAAAGCCAAAAGACCACTTTTTCATACCTGTGCTGGGATTTCTTTGCACTTGAGGGCTGAAAAATGTTGTTGTTTTTTTTTTTTTGTAATATGAGGAAGGGCATTCTTTTTTGCTGGATTTGATATCAATGACTGGGTAAAAATCAATGTATAGGTGCTAGTATTGCAGTTACTATATTGTACTTACCTGTAGTTTTTTTCTCCCACATTCACCAATGTGTTGTTGGTGTGAATTTTTAGGAAGGGCAAGCAGTGAAATGTAAACATTGGCATTAGCTGCTGTTTTGCTTTTAACATACCTGTGTGTTTGTTAAGTACATTTTAAGACCACGGGTAAAGGGCAGGTTGTTGGGTTTAATTTGAAGCCCCATGTCATTTACAGTCTTGGAATTAGAGATTTTCATTGAAAAGTTGTGATTTTTGGACAATTTCTCATGCTATTAAAGATGAAAGAGGACATTACAATTTAGGGCCTTTTTCCTTCTTCCCTCCAATTCTTGATCTGGTTATCTTCTGATTGAAAATAACAGTATTTTTATTGGGGGGTGGGGGGGGGGGGTACAATTGACTTCTCCATGGTGGTGTCAATTTTGAAAGACAAATTCTGAAATTCACAAAATAGTAAACAGTATCAGAACAAAGTTAAAGGAAAATATATCAGGTGAATCGCATACATCAAGTCAAGGTCACTTACCGTGTGCAAAACTGATTTTACGTAAGAGGTCAAAATGCTGTGAGGTGTGTCTGTGGGCTGGTGTGGACGGACTGACCAATCAGTGGCCTCTGTTATTGCAACACCCCTCACACACCTTCTGAAGTAATGGTCACTATTGTTATACTGACCAACATTGTCCAGGTGCTGGGGGACATTGGTCAATATTTAAGTCAAGTCGACCATTGTCTGTAATTTTTTTTACTAAATTTTGGGGACTTGGTGGATTGTCAAAGTGTGCAGAATATTTTCATTCTTGTAAATGTAGAATTTCAATCTTAAATTTCAACCCTTTATGATTTTTATTTATTAATTTATGTATATTTATTGAAGATTTGAAGATTTTAACTGATTAAAATTACTGATTTGAAAAAGGTGAAATATTTTCACTGTCAGCTTTTTAAATGAGTCATTCCATTTACATTAATACATACTATATTTAATCAGGGTGTAAGGAATGAAGGTGGGAAGGGGGTATAAGTTGATTAATAAATACATGCACTTTGTCAGAACAGCTCGTTGGGTATATTTATATATAAATGGAATGTAAAGCTTGCCTCCAGAGAAAAAATTTCCACTATTATCTTGCTTTTATTGGTCTGGCCGGGAATGTTATCAAACAGTTATATACAAATGCCTCAAAATCAATACTCAACTTCTGTTAGATTGTAGATTAGCAAATCTTTAGAGACCTGGGGAATTTTGCTTGTATTATATTATTGAACACTTTCTACAAATGCCACAAAAGAAAAAAATTGACCTCTATATATCCACATGAAGGCTGAAATTAGGGCATTTACCTGTTAGTTACGTCGCCAAGATGTTACGTAATGCACTCAATGTATCAGTAACAATGCTGACGGTTTATACAATAAATGTATGTTTTCTTTTAGCTTATCAGTATTTAGAGTGTTACGTATGAATATAGCCACTTGCATAACAAGGAATTTGGCGCCACTAAAGCACGTGGAAGTCCATGTGGGGCGTTATGAAACTGACCTGCATGCATGTTGATGGTGGACAGGAAAACATTAAAAATCAGTTCAACTTGTCTGGTTGAATTTTTGGAAGATTTATTACCTCTGTCTAAGAAGATGCTTTGGTTTAACTTTAGTTTTTTTTTTTTTTTTTTTTTTTTTTTTTTTTTTTTTTTTTTTTTTTTGGGGGCCTTTTTTTTTCTAAAATTTCCTCCAAGATTTTTTACCAAATTGGG